GATGCTATGGCATACGGATGCCGGAGCTGACAAATTCTTAGAGAGGACTACAAGTTTTAAAGGATAACTCCCGAAAACTCGTAGTACCAAAAAGGAGGTTTTTTAGTTGGTAAGAATCCAACACTACCCAGGGTTCGGAACACTGGGTGTCTTAGTTATGACGCCAGTAGAAAAAATATATTTATGTAAAAATAACTTAATCAATCAAATTTTATTAAACCAGATTTTCACATTGCGCCTCATACATTAATGCTCTGGACAAATTTCTAGCTGCCGCCAACCTCAGTATACTGATTTTGTCACTTAGCTCAGGGATTTCTTCCTTTTCCTCCAAACAATGCAACACGGTAAATGTATCATTGGCGGAAAACACTATTTCTTCACTTTCGAGTAACGGTGTGGCTTCACTCAGGAGTACTGGCCAAAAGCTGAAAAAAACAGCTTTAGCTTCGTACATTTATTTTTTACTTTCATATGGAGCGTTTTATTAAGATTGCAAAATAAGTCGAATTGATTTACTACATAAACGTGAAAACGTCGCTATTTTGGATTAATTCCCTGATTTGCTTCAATAATTTCCCTTGTATTGTAGACCGAATAATTTTCCTGACTGCATGTACTTGTTATGGTACAACTTATCAACTGAATGTTTCTCAAAACTAAAACCAAAAACTGACAAAATGGATATACCAAATACTGTATATAGAGTGAATTGTTTAGAATGTGATAATACATATATAGGACAAACTAAAAAATATTTTAAAAAGAGAATGTACTAACATAATAACAGTCTGAGAAATACTAGTGAAAATAAAACAGCATTAACACATGCACACCAAACGTTGTATAATTTTGATTTTAACAACGCAGATATATTACTTAGGGAAATAAATTATCATAAAAGAAGAATCCCAGAAATGATACACATAAAAAACATGCAAAAGCAGTAAATTTCAGATCAGATACCGACAACCTTAGCAACATTTACCAAACCCTAACTAAGCCATCAGTATGGAACACCCAGTACACTGGAGAAAAATTAAAACTATTTCTGCTTATCTCAGTACATGCATACCTCTCGCAAATGTAGAAAATAATTCAGACAAATTTAAGGTTTCAAGAAGGCAAAGCCCTAAAGAACGTTGATTTTTACCAATCATGAGATAAGTTTTTCCGGTGTTTTGCTCTCCCAAAAGAAAGGTTTTTTTCCTTCAAATACTGATGAATGTTTTAACACTTTATAAATTATGGTTTTGTTACAACATGTTTTAATTGTGAATTGGTGTTTGTAGTTTGTGTACATTTTAAATCTGATGATGGCGCTGTTGTCTCGCTGAAACGTAATGAAATGAACGATGTTCAACATTTTTAGTTCACACTTTGACTGAGACCCAGTAAAGATAAGAATATCATAACTTGTAATGAAGTTATTTTTCTTCAATAAAATTAGAATAATAAATGGATCAATATTTAGAGCGTTTGAAATTTTTTTATTTTTTTGCAAAAAAACAGAAAATATGAAATTAAGCTTAAGCTTTCGAAATATTATTAGAATGTCTTTTAAAGGTTCAACACCCCCCGTATGTTTGAAGCGAAATAATTGTCGACGTAAGACTGTTTTCTTATTTTTCAGTCATTGAAGTGTATTTCAGTCGCTGGTAACTATTTTCTAGGTATATTATTATGTAATTTCAAACAAGAAACCGCATTAAAATATTTGCAATGAAAACAGTTTATGCATAATTTGCTTAATAAAAGTAAAATACTTACAACTTTGGAACAATTTTCGACACCATTAAAGCTATTAGTAAGTGCCCGCACTCTTTGTACTCTCCCTCTTGATATAACTTATGAAATTCGTTGTATTTTCCTACAATTTAACAATTAATCTCTGCTGCAGATAATAATTTTTCTTGAGTACAAACCTAAAAATATTAGTCTATCACTGGCCAACATAGATGATCCCAAATTGTCTAACAGATCAGTATTGTTCAGTTCTCCGCTGCTTATATACTGCTTCAAATACTTATCGGCCAAATACGAAGTAAATGGACCATCTTGCGACTTTAAAGCCCAAGTTAACGCATTGCCTAAGCGTCCTCGGCTTAAGGACCTCATCCCTTGAACTTTACATATGCTCTGAGCTGAAATTCAGTGTTATAAAGCCCGATTCAGGCTGATTTCCTTCAGACTTCTCACCAACGTTCTTCAGACCTCTACTTATAGCTTCCCTGATCAATTTGTGGACTTTCGCTTCGGAATCAAACGAAATTCGAGGTAGTAATAGTTGAATTGTAGGCAACCCATCTTTGGGACAATGATCCAAATAACTCAAACCAACTTGCCACAAGCTTTTATGCCCTACTAAGGTAGTGCCGTAGTCCAGAATGAAGGATTCCCGTAGTTTATCTGCTGAACTAACATTTTTTTTGAAAACTTCGCAAATATTTTACTGGATTTAAATGAATATAGTAGGCTGTTTCACCTTCAATATAAATTTAACGCCAAAATACAACCACTTCACCGCAAAGAACGTTTACACAATCGAATTATTGCAGTACTGAGATGCTGAGAAGTGAGGCATCAATCGGATGGTGAAGTTCAGTATAACATTTAACGGATTCAGTCAAAGATCGAAATTTTTCGAAATGTGTTAACATTTTACAAGATGTTTGTTCAGTGAACTCACGTGTTTTTCAATGAGTTCGTTGCAATAGAAATTGTATATTTTTTTAGGCATTTTAAGCGAAATGAGCATTGCCGAAAAGTATTTAACACTCTAATGCGTTTGTTACGCAGAAGCCTTCAGACACTACACTGATTTTTGACAAAATCTGATCATCACAGAAACTTCTACATTGTAAATTAAAATTCGTTTTGCCAAATTTTGAGTCTTTTTGCAAACAAACCATTCAAAAATTACCGATACTCTTCTCATATTAAAAAACTGTAAGTGTATAAATACTTACAAGCCCTCGACTTCTTTTTCCAGCGAAGATAAGCGCCCAGAGTGATGGAGCAGATCAGTAAAATGACTCACGAACCAACCATTCTCGGTCATTTCCTGAACTTCCTTAATCACCTGGGAAATGTATAATTTATAAAATCAATCGCCAACATTTTAACAGAGTAAAACGCACCAAAAGCATATCAAATTCCATCGCAGCTAACAAAACCCTGTCTAGATGCCTTAAGTGATTCTGCATTCTCATTTTTTTAATGCTTTGCTTGGCATATTGGCCGAGTTCAAACGTTTTCACCGTTGTTTCACTGTAACATAGCCATCCAGCTAGAAACTCATACCAAGCCTCGCATTGTGATTGAATCTCAGCCCATGCCTCCTCTTCGCCAGTCAGCAGCTATTTCAAGAAAGATTGGCATGAGAAATCTGTGCATACCGTTTGGAAACATTCAAACCTCACCCTCATCAATAAGTTCAAGTTATGGTTGTTTATGAATTGCTTAGAATCAATTTGCTGTTGAATATCCATAACCCAATGCCTCCATTGAAGATTGAATTCGCTTACAGAAACATTGTTCATTACCTGGTGAAACGAAAAAGCCAAATCAGACCCAAAAAAAATAAAAAAAAACAGATCACGTACATTGTATGTAGGCATACTCTTCAATAGATGTTGTACTAGTTGAAATATTGGACTGTTTGCCGCCGAGTGTTGCTTTAGTAGTGCTCGAACCACTTTAATCCTGCCTTGCAATAAGTTGCCGAAAACAGTAGGCCAAAATTCTTCCTCCAATTCCAGGCCCTCAGAATTGCTTGCTAAAAGAATCGCAGCATTCCTTTCGTGCTTTGGAAAATGAAACCTGACCCAGTCGAGTAGATGGGGCAAGACAATATTTCCTGGTATAACATCGATGAAAAGGATTTCACACAAATGCCAAACACATTCCACTGAATAAAATATTGTGATATAATTGTGCATTTCACTGCGTTCAGCCACTGTAATATTAGGTTTTCCTACTTCGTCTTGCAAGTTCTCTAAACAGGCCCTGATAATCGAACGATACTGTCGGCTAATGCTGAGGATTTCCATTTTCAAGTCTGACGGCTTAGTTTTAAAAGAAGCCTGCAGCGTTAGGAATACGCCATTTGATTCATTGACCAGTTTCCTTAAGATAGGGTGGAACAAAATAACACTTCTTCGGATATGGAAAATCGACACTGGAGCATTAGATGCAAAGCTAGTTGGCTGGTCCTTTTGCTTAACGCTACGTTTCTCATAGGGAAATACCACTATTTCATTCATGGGGCGCCAAGAGGCCCCCATTCCTGCCCGCCGACATAAATCATTGGGAATTAGCTGGAACAAAAAAATGTCTGGCCCTATTCAAGCTCTTTGGTAGGTAAAGTGGGTAACTCACAAATGTTTTCGCATTGTTTTCCATGTTATTCGCGCTTTACTAACTTTGGTTCGACGGAAACTTGTCGGAAACAAACAGTTTCTGATAATTATGGTTAGGATTCTCGCCTCTTCTTTGTCCCCCAAACAACAGATAGGCATCAATTGAACTACCGCAATGCAACTCAGTAATACATTTTGGTTCAAGAAATCAACTTTAAAACACGTTAATGTATAGACAAATAAGTTGATTTTGCCAATAAAACTTGAATGGAAATTGTGAATAATTGAGGAATAGAACTTCCCAATAAATCCCAACCTCAATTGTAAACATAACCCTAGTGTGTTCCAGTCATATTTTCAAAATAAATTGATTATGTTGAATATCACTGACGACCAAATTAGGTCTATTGGGGACGTTTTGAACAACCCCAGCAGGCCTTTAAAAGAGAGATTTCGGGCCTTATTTACCTTAAGAAACATCGGTGGCCCCTTAGCGATTGCGAGCATTGAGAAGTGCTTCGCAGACGAGTCCGCCCTCTTAAAACATGAGCTGGCTTATTGTTTGGGGCAAATGCAGGATACGGCAGCTAATCCTATATTGGTGAAAGTGCTAAAAGATGAGGCTGAACATCCCATGGTGCGACACGAGGCAGGTTAGCTGTAACATTCATTATTTAAATGAGATATGATTGAAACGAGTATATGCTTTTATTTACACTTTATACCTACTTGCAGTCTTTTAAAATGTATGATTATCTTTACAATTTTTAATGAAATGTGCTGTTGATTTTGGATTATCCAAATGTCTTTCAATTTTTCGAGTTGATACTCCAGGGTTCGCAGTAATTGCCAATAATCCTTTGTTGAATTTCTCCTCAGAGCTGTTCCTTTTCCGAGAGAAAACTGGCTTTTGAAGAGCACCGTACTTTTTGAAATTAGTTGCTGAATGTTCTTTTGTTCAAGTGCACTCGCTTCGCAACACAGGGGTTTCTCTCACTCAAAATAAAATATGATAAGAAATCCAAACTTTTCTGTATTTGAAATGCTTTCCTCCATTCGTTGCAGACGAAACACTTTTATGTATAAACTTAATAGTAATATACATTTTGACTGGCACATTTTTATCTCTAAACGCAAAAAATGTTCGCAATGGTGTTCACAAAGGTCACAACAATAATTTAAAAAATGACCAAAACATAACTAAACTTCAACATTTTATACGTCGTTGGATTCAGAATAAAAAGGGGTTTCGGGATTTGCTGTTAAACATACAGAGCCGTATTTGAAAAACGAATTTGATGATTGTTTCCTGGAGACGAAACGTCGGGGCGTAAACTTGATAAAGTATCTCGCTGGCTTAAAGTTGCTGTGATAATGTGCAGTCGGTTTTGCTGTAGAATTGTTATTAACGCCAAAAAATAATATACGTAATCGAAGTTCGGAAATTTCCGTTTTTTTGCAAGTACCTACCTAAATTAGAAACCGAGATTTTGATCAAAAGTTTTAAAGCGCCATGTCCAACCCTCCAATTGGCCAACTTTTTTCCCATTGAACCAACTTCTTTTCGTAACACACTGTACAATCTATCACCTAGTAGGGTCTTGCGACATATTTAAGCATACGATTAAGCTTTTGCCTTTCAATTGACTTAGTCGATTTTTTTTAAAACTCTAGCTGAAGCTCTAGGAGCCATCGGCAGTTCCGACATGGTAAACATTCTGGAGCGTTTTAAGAACGATTCTTCTGTAGAAGTGGCCGAAACATGTCAGCTAGCATTAGAAAGAATTAATTGGTTGCAAAGCCCCGATAATTCAAAGTGTTCGGAAAATCCATACCATTCCGTAGACCCTGCTCCTCCTGCACAATTGAAGACTGTTGAAGAACTAAAGGGCATTTTAATCAATGATAAGGAATCATTGTTTAATAGATACAGAGCAATGTTTTCGCTGAGGAACCTGAGAAGTAAAGAAGCAGTTGAAGCTCTGGGTGAAGGCTTGAAGCATGGCAGCGCCTTGTTCAAGCATGAAGTAGCCTTTGTGTTGGGGCAGCTTCAAGATGAAAGTAGTGTTAAATATCTGCAGAGCTCCTTGGAAAACTGCGATGAAAATGAAATGGTTAGACATGAATGTGCGGAGGCGCTAGGCGCAATTGCGACAGAAGAATGCATGGATATTTTAAACAAATACCTAAGAGATGATAAAAGGGTTGTTAAAGAAAGTTGCGAAATTGCCTTGGATATGTGTGAATATGAAAATAGTCCTGAGTTTCAATACGCGAATACGCTCACTGTGAAGTAATTGTTTAGGTGAAATATAAGTATCATTTTATTTTTCAAGAGTTTTGAGTGACCCCATTAAATATCCCATTATATTTCCCTCTGATAGATCAATCAAGGTGGGTATAAATATATTCATTTCCATAATATTATCAACATACTTACAAGATATTAATATATGTATAACGCGTTTAAAACATCGAGATCTGAAAAATGTAGTTTTCAAAGGTATTTTACCGTCTTGTGAATTTTCAATATTCCTGTCTCGCAGATTTCAGTGTAATTTGGTTTTGCTGCAAATTTTATACCATCCAGCAGACACGGATGGTCAGGAAAATAAAACTCAACGGAAATAAAGGAGATGAAATGATGATCTTACGGACATCTATCACGATATCTGGGCTAGACGTTTTAGTTATTTATCAGAAACCTGATATAGTAGATTCTTACACGGAAACTGTAACATTTATAATAAAATTAAACCGTAACTTATTCAATAATCAATTGTTGTGGACTCTTCTCAATTGATTTCTTTTTGGACTGAACCTCACATTTTCTTCAGTTATGTTTTATTTTCTTACGACTTTTTAAAGGTTTCTCAACCTCAAAATGTTCCGAATTTTACAACTTTTTAACTGCCCATTATTCAAATGCGCCTGTTGCTTCCTTCATTCTCCGAGTAGTAGTCCAGTCAAATTAGTGTTTCACCTCGGAATTAAAGATAACAAGCTGTAAACTCGTATATACCTTTATCTTAACATCCTTCCTAAAACTTGCCTCAAAACTACTTATGATAGTGTTGACGCGACTGTACATAACTAAGGTCAAAGGTAAAACAACGTTTTTTTGTGCATTTTTTGCAAATCTTTCGTTTCCTGTAAGTTTTACGGTATTTGAATATATTATGAATATTGTAGCGGATTAAATTCTCCACGACTTTTGTTTCAACATTTTTTTAATACGTTAAACCGTTTTAGAGATAGAGGGCGGAGAGAGAGCAGTGTTTAACTATGTACAGGGTGGTTATTGATTGTTATTGATGCTGAAATTTGGCCATCCCGTTTTAACATCTAATTTGGAAATTAAAGAAAAATGTTTAATACAAGAGTTGTAGATATTAACCTCTAGTTTATTTTAAGATAGTATCGATTGATACAGGGTGTCTGAAATTCAAGTGACAGACCAAACTTCCCTTTTTTAAATGGAATGCCGTCCTTTTTATGGCATATTCGAGCTATTTGTAAAATTCTATGCTCATTTGATATAAATGTTCAATATTGATTTTCAACTGTTTTTGAGTTTTTTTAAAAACCAATATTGATTGAACGTTGGCCACCCCGTATTAACATCGAATTTGAAAATTAGAGAAAAATATTATTAAAAAGTACGGCCTTCCATTTAAAAAGAGATGTTTGGTCTGTCATTTCAATTTGAAACACTCGTTTATTTTAAGATAATAAGAATTGCCACAGGGTGTCTCAAATTCAAGTGCCTGATCAAACTCGAATTTTTATAAATGGAATGCCCAAATATTTATATGGTTAGTAACTTAAAAACAGTTGAAGATCAATATAGAAAATGTATATCCAAGAGGACTGGAATTGTGCGAATAGTTCGAATATGAAATAAGAAGCGCGCGATTCTATTTAAAACATGTAAGTTTGTTACCGCCACTTGCGTTTGAGACACCCTGTATCAATTGTTACGATCTTAAAATCAACTAGACGTAAATATCTACAACTTTTGCATTTAACATTATTCTCTAATTTTTGAATTAGATTTTAAAACGGTGTGGCCAAAGTCCAATCTTTGCCCTATTTTGATTAATATGACTGGACTATAGTCCGACTGTCGCCGAAAAGTTATTAACTAAAGATAAACGAGTTTCCGTCTACCTAGACGTATGTTTATTAAATTAAACGAACCTTTTAAGATTTTCGACATGAATTTTTATTTCAAAAAACGAAACAAATTATTATACATCTTTCCATTTGTAGATAAATGCATATTGCAATACTGTAATATAAAACGATTGTTCCTATTTTGCACTACTTCTAAATATATTTATTAAAACCGTCTTTTATTCATTATCATCAAACATTTAAAAAACCTGCCTTTTTCTTAGTTTTAAAATGAGCTTGTTAGATTTTCATATATGTACATACCATTTCATATACTATGTCTCCGTTAGTTTTAATATAGTTCTTTAATGTGTGTTCTTAATTTTTTTCAATTTCCGTTTTTTTTGCTCTTTTTTTTCTTTTCGCAATCGTCGTCCGACCAATTTGCGCGTCGAATTATTTCAACCGAATCGTTCTTCTGCAGTTTTAAGCATTCATTGGTGTTAAAAGCTTCTATCACCCATTTTATGATGATAAGATTCTCGGTTCACTTTTCGTAAATTTCATTTGGATTTTTCACCGTATTGGAATGGGAATTTATTAAACTTACACTTATTATAATGGGAAAATGTTCGCTGTTCGTACAGTTTTCCTTAACTATTAGCGATATTAAAGTAGAATCATATAAGCGGCACTATTGAAAACCAGCGGGTGCCGGATTATTGAAATGTTCGGATTGCTGGATTATAGAGAACAAATCGTAATAAATAAAATAAAGCATTTCATTAAGAGAATACATAAAATGTATGTATGCACATTTTTGTGTTCTTGTTCGAGAGGTTTTATTGTAACTGAAACCTATCTCAAAATTAACATGTAAATACCTTCCGTGCTTCACAAAACAGTCCTTGCTTAAAAACCTTTTCTCGCATGTTTCGACGAATTATAATATCTTTGGCATATATGTTATGCAGGTATTGAAACAATGAAATGCTTTATCTGGTTTAAATTTTAGAGTTGTAGTAGTTGGTGACTGACCTATTGCAGATTCGGTTCTTGATAATTTTTCACACGATATGGTTAACAGACAGATCGTTTTTTGAATTTATCGAGCATACATCGCTGGCACGAAAATCATCTTTCTTATATTTTTTAAAATAAAATTTGATTACTTTTACTTGCGGGAGTGCCGGATGATTGGACGTATCGGTCTATTGAAGTGCCGAATTAGTGAGATTATACTGCATACTGTATATACAGTTGAGTCCGGATATAACGAACTTGAAAAATGAACTAAAACTGGTTCGTTATATCCGGAGCTATATCCGGCTATAAGCGAATAATAATACAAAAGCACGTGATGTATTTTATTTCGTTATTTTTACATAGAGTAGTAGAAGTCAGTAGGTATAGTTATACGGTGTTAAAAAGAACACAAAAAGATAAACAAAATACAATTTGAAATCTACTTCATAAAATCTGTAATTTTTGTTTGTACATTTCTGCTGCAAAAATAGATGTTATTTATGTAGTTTTCAAGATCACAAAATGACTCCCAGATATGATTAGGAACTTGGCGTGATTGTAGAAAATGTCGAGTTTCGGACACTTTTTTGTCATTTCAGAAATGGTTGGAACAGCATTAGTGTCTACAGTAGAATCAGTTTCACATAAATCGTCATCTTCCTCCCTTATCGCTTAAAGCTGTAGATGAGGTTACGGAGTCTGGAATTTGCTCATCGGTCAACATTTCTCTTGTAAGAATGCCATTATCAATGCTCACATATTCGAAGAAATCGAAATTACTCAATTTGGTTTTAACTTATTGTAACGGAAATGGCCTGGGGTACTCACGTTTGGAATGGGGGATCGAAATTCATGGTATTTCAGTAAATG